AAGAGTTGAAATCATCCCTTGCATATTATCGGATCATAGCGCTCTGAAATTAGAAATTAATGACAAAGGATACTGCAAAAATTCCGCAAACACATGGAAACTAAATAACACACTCTTGAGTAATCAGTGGGTCACAGAAGAAATTAAAGAAGAAATTAAGCAATACCTAAAAGAAAATGAAAATGCAGATACAACTTACCGGAATCTGTGGGATGCAATGAAAGCCGTTCTGAGAGGAAAATTTATTGCACTGAGTTCCCACATCAGGAAAACAGAACGAATACAAGTAAATAACTTGATGCTACACCTCAAACAGCTAGAAAAAGAAGAGCAAGTCAAGCCCAAAGCCAAAAGAAGAGAGGAAATTATAAGAATCAGAGCAGAAATCAATGCAATAGAGACTAAGAAAACAATCCAAAGAATCAACGAATCAAAGAGTTGGTTCTTTGAAAGAATAAATAAAATCGATAAGCCCCTAGCCAACCTTATTAAAAAAAGGAAAGAAAAAGCTCAAATTCATGCAATAAGAAATGAAAAAGGAGAAATCACTACAGACCCAATAAAAATACAGAGGATCATCAACACCTATTTCGAAACCTCTACTCTCAAAAGTTTGATAACACAGAAGAAATAGACAGATTCTTAGAAGCATATGAAGTACCAAAGCTAGATCAAGAGGATATAAAACTGTTGAATAACCCAATCTCTGCTAATGAAATTGAAAATGTAATTGGGTCCTTGCCCACCAAGAAGAGCCCAGGCCCAGATGGATTCACTGCAGAATTCTACAAGAAATATAAAGAAGACCTAATGCCGACACTCCTCAAACTATTCAATGAAATTGAAAGGGAAGCAATCCTTCCTAAGTCATTCCTGGAAGCAAATATTACTCTAGTACCAAAACCTGAGAAAGACCCAACTATAAAAGAGAACTATAGACCGATCTCCCTAATGAACACAGATGCAAAAATCCTCAATAAAATATTGGCAAATAGGATCCAGCAAATCATCAAGAAGATTATACACCATGACCAGGTGGGATTCATCCCAGGAATGCAAGGATGGTTCAACATACGCAAATCAATAAATGTAATCCACCATATCAATAAAGCCAAAAATAAGAATCACATGATCATCTCTATAGATGCAGAAAAAGCCTTCGATAAGGTCCAACACTTATTCATGATAAGAACTTTACAGAAAATTGGAATAAATGGTCTTTACCTCAATATAATAAAGGCCATTTATGACAAACCAACAGCCAGCATCATACTAAATGGCCAAAAATTGAAAGCCTTTACTTTAAAATCGGGTACAAGACAAGGATGTCCTTTATCACCACTCCTATTTAATATAGTACTGGAAGTACTAGCCAGAGCAATTAGGCAAGAAAGAGAAATAAAAGGGGTAAAGATAGGAAAAGAAGAAGTTAAATTATCATTGTTTGCAGATGACATGATACTCTACATAGAAGACCCCCTAAACTCCATTGAAATACTCTTAGATACAATAAATAAATTCAGTAATGTGGCTGGATACAAAATCAATACTCAGAAATCAATAGCATTCCTATACACGAACAACAAAATTACAGAGAGGGAAATAAGAGAAACTGGACTATTCACATTAGCAAGCAAAAAAATGAAATATTTAGGAATTACTCTTACGAAAGAAGTGAAAGACTTATACAGTGAAAATTATAATACACTGAAAAAGGAAATTGAAGATGATCTCAGAAAATGGAAAGACATCCCTTGCTCATGGATAGGAAGAACAAACATTGTGAAAATGGCCATTCTCCCAAAACTGTTATACAGATTCAATGCAACCCCAATAGAAATACCATCAACATACCTTATAGATCTAGAGAAATCACTCCTAAATTTCATCTGGAACCAGAAGAGACCTAGAATCGCAAAGGCAATTCTAAGCAGCAAAGACAAAGCAGGAGGCATCACAATCCCTGACTTGAAGTTATACTACAAAGCAACAGTAGTAAAATCAACATGGTATTGGAATCAAAACAGAGCTGAAGATCAGTGGAATAGATTAGAAGATACAACCACAACTACGAACACACTCAACCACCTTATTTTTGATAAAGGAGCCAAGCAGGTTCACTGGAAGAACGACAGTCTCTTTAATAAATGGTGCTGGAAAAACTGGCTCTCCATTTGCCGAAAACTAAAGCTAGACCCATGTCTATCACCATGTACTAAATTAAAATGTAAATGGGTCAAAGATCTGAATATTAAAACAGAAACACTAAATCTATTGGAAGACAAAATAGGTAGAAACCTTGGAGACATAGGAATAGGTAAAGAATTCATGAACAGGACTCAAACCGCACGGGAAATACTTCCCAGAATCAATAACTGGGACCACTTCTTATTAAAAAGTTTCTGCATGTCAAAAGAAATCTCCAGCATAGTGAAAAGAAAACCCACAAACTGGGAAAAGATTTTAGTGAACTCTCTCTCAGACAAGGGCCTCTTGTCTAAAACATATAAAGAATTAAAGAAACTCAGACCTCCGAAATTCAAAGATCCAATCCAAAAATGGGCATCTGAGATGAATATGCAATTCTCAGATGAAGAAATGCAAATGGCAAATAAATACATGAAAAAATGCTCATCATCATTGGTCATTAGAGAAATGCAAATTAAAACCACACTGAGATACCATCTCACCCCTGAAAGAATGGCCAGGATCAAGAAAACCGACAACAAATGCTGGAGAGGCTGTGGGGAAAAAGGAACTCTCCTGCACTGCTGGTGGGAGTATAGACTGGTACAGCCTTTGTGGAGATCTGTCTGGAGATTTCTCAAAAAGTTGGGACTGGAAATCCCATTTATTCCAGCTATTCCACTTCTAGGCATATTCCCAGAAGAACTGAAAGCATCATACCACAGTGATATATGTGCACCTATGTTTATAGCAGCACAATTTGTAATCGCCAGATCTTGGAAACAACCCAAGTGCCCATCAACTGAGGAATGGATAAAAAAGTTGTGGTATTTCTATACAATGGAGTATTATTCAGCTATAAAGAAGGATCACATTGAGATATTTATCAATAAATGGGCACAGCTTGAGACCATACTCATAAGTGAAATAAATCAATCTCGCATGTGTGAATACCGAATAGTTTCCCTAATGTAAGTAATGATTCAAATATATAAAAATATGTGGTAATCATGATTCCCCATTAGGTGGCCTTGAAGCCTTATAAAGTTTTCACTCATTAATTAGAAAGGCTTTATTCTGGGCTTCTTGATATGAAAATATTTGAAGCTAGAGTATATGAAGTTTTACCCAAATATTTCAAGGAAAAAGACACTATGGTAACTACTATTAAGTCAGGTTATAAGGTGGTGAAGTACTAGGTTATTGAAACAGTCATGCTGTGACCTCTATTGTTATATTGTTATGTCCTGTTTTATCTCAATCTCCCCCTTATTGTTTCAAAAAAAATATTTAGTCATTTCTTATGTTTGTCTTAATTAAAGAAAAAATTCCAAAAAATTAGGATATATAAATAGTGTAACTCTTTTCGATTTCCTATTAACTTGTTTTGAAGTCCTGTAGTACTCCCACGATCTAGTTTTGACTGATTAGACTCTGTTCCATTCTATATGATAGTATCAAGTTTGAAGACATAGGCAACTACTTTGAAGACAATAAGATTCACTAAGATACCCATTCTGGTTTGACTATTGTCTTCTTTGGAAGTCCTGTAATGTTTACAATGCCTAAGTTTTATTGGTCTTGTTCTCTACTGTTTTGTCCAACTTTATAATATCTAATAAGATAGACAATTCTTTTTAAGGAAACAAGGGACAACGTTGATAACCATTGTTGATAAACTTGTACTCTGTTCTACACCATGTGCTACGTCTATCCTTGGTATTGACTGACAGCTTTGTTTTGCCATATTTGACTGTATTCTCCCCCCCCCAAAGAAAGTAATAAGCACTAAGGAGTAATAAAATCCAAGATGTGTAAATTTTGTTGTAAAAAAGAGAGGGAAAAAAAAAAAGAAAAGGAGCTCTAACGGATATAACAGCAAGTGTGTTTGGGGGTGTTAAATAGCTGACTTTATCAATGTTTTTGGAACATTGAACACAGCTGTTTGCAGTCTCCCTGTTTGAATGTCCACCTTGTGTTCTTTGATACTGTGATTTGAGGAACTATTTTCAAGAAAATAGTGTGTAATCTACTAGCAGGTAATTTCTTACTGTTATGGTTTTTTGTTTTGTTTTGTTTTGTTTTGTAGTTCTGTATTGCGTGTACCCTTACGCCGCTTTGGTTTGTTTTGTGTTTTTCTCTTTTTCCTCTTAAATAAAAAAAAAAAAATATATATATATATATATATATATATATATATATATGCAAAGGGGAATACTTCTATACGTTAGAAATGGAATAGTATGGAAGGGAGAGTTACTTTTGCAATCGGAGAAGGGAAATCATACTGCTATGATCTGAACACTGAAGTCCTCCTTAGACTCACAGGCTGGCATTTTAGCTTGCAAGGTGATGTTACTAGGAGGAGGCCTTGGGGGACAAACCCCGCAACAGTGGAATTATTGTCCTTATAAAATAGACCAAATGTAACTCATTTGCCCTTTCACCAGAGGAAGACACAGCAAGAAAGTGTTGTTTATTAAACTGGAAACAAATCCTCTTCACACAGCAAACCTGCCAGCACCTTGACCTTGAGTGTTACCACTTCTGGAACTGTGCAGAATAAATCTCTATTGTTTACAAGCCATTCAGCATATGATATGCTATCACAGCAACCCAAATAGAGTAAGCCAGGTCTTTTCTATTTAAACTGATTTGTACTTTTACAATGACAGAATCTTACTTTTTAAATTATTTCATGTGCACACATGTATTCAAAGCACATAACTCTAGGACATTTTATAAATAAACGAGAGATAAAATGACCACATGATATATGCATTTCCAAATGGGACTGCTTTCCAGCAACTTACCAGTTGTGCAATTTCTAAACTCAATATCATCAATTGCGGCTCCTCCTCCCAGATCTTTTGTTCTGATACCTTGAAATATGACTTGAAAATTCCTTAACTTTCCTAGCAGGATGACAGCATTTTGCCACTGATTACCAGGATTTTGTGTACTTTCTTGCCAAACTTCAGATAGTCCTTTCTCTGTCTGAAATTAAACAGGCTTACATTAGAGAAATAGTCAAACACATAATAATAATAAGAAAACCTAGCTATTTATTTAGACCAGAATTTTCTGATGAATACTGGGGGTAAAAAGAGATAGAAAAACTTTGAAACTCCGACAATATCCATGATAGAGTTTATCTCTCCAAAACAGAGCGCATTAATCCTCCAACATGCTTCCCAAAAGCAATACAGGCAGGATTAACAATTAACTTGTTCTGGGATTTTCACAGATATTATTGTGGCCTTGGCAGTTAAATTCACCTGTCATTACCTCTGCACAGAATTCTTAGAACTGGATGAAATTTGAACCATTTGTACAAGTTCTGAGTTTGCAGTAAATGGTCTTTCTAATTATATACTTTAATTAGTGCGACTGTAAACTTCCCAGAATTTAAATCATTGACCTAGGAAAAGATAAAAGAGAGATGAAATGTAATATATATGAGAAAAATCACTTATTCCTAATGTACAGGATAAGTATATTAGTCAGCTTTCCTATCACTGGAACAAAATATCCAATACCAATAATTTACAGATGAGAGGGTTACGTGGCTCAGTTTCCAGTGGGTTCAGTCCATGCTTAGTCGCAAAGTACAGAAGTCCTGACATAAGTGTACTGGAGAGGATATCCACCCACTTCATGGCAGGGAAGAAAGGAGGAGGGAAGGGAGGAGAGAAGGTAAGAATTCACCCTGCCTAGTCATGTGCTCTGTGATCTTCGTCCAACCAAGCTCTGTCCCCAACCAGGCTCCACCTCCTAACTGCACATTTAGCTGCATGGGTTCATTCACTGATGAAGACAATATCCCCATATTTGAGTCAGCTTTCATACAGATGTACCTTTCTGCTAAGTAGACAGATAGACAGTAGACAGTAGACAATAAATCACGATGATAGATGTCTAGCAAAGAAAATATACATGTGTATGTTTGTTTATGGTTATCCACCAAATCTTTAGTTTATCCATGATTCTTTGTGTTAAATCACCGTATTTTCAGGATAAATTCACAATTAGAACCTTGACTTTAAAATCTGCAATCAAAACCGTGGAATCAATGAAAATATTTAGCAGAATGGCAGGCAGAAAATCAAATAAGATGTTAAAACATACTCATAATATACAGCCATGATATGCATATGTTTCAGATATTTTTTAAAAATGAGTTAAAAAAGAGAAATGTCTGAAGATGGGCCACAGGATATACACATTCATATTTTCATACTTATGGGAAATTAATATTAATAAACATTGCTAATGTCTCCTATTGCTGAGAGAAATTAGATATCTGATCAAGTAGCTCTTTGTGTGGCTACAGGTAGCATGTACAAGCATGTATCACTCAACCTAAAATTAACTTTGCAGTAAAGGGGATGGGAAATTCACACCTAATTAATAGAATTTTCAGTCTTCCTGATGACTAAAGAGAAATCCTTTTCAAGGTTAGTCTTTGAGTCTCAGAGATGTTTTTGCAATTTGGTATCAAAAGGATTTAGTTAAATTAAAGATTAAAGTAAAGGGGATCTGTCTGACACTTAGCAATATTAGAGATACGGATATTGATGAAAGTTCATATCAATTTACAAACTTTATTCACTTTTCATCTGCATTTGACTCTGCAGCTTATAGAACAATTATTAGCTATGGCAACACCCCTGAAGGAGTTAACAAATAACATCAAAGAAGGTCATATGATCCCTTTAAACAACAAAATATGAATCTTTTCTTAAATTTTCTAACTAGGTTTCTATTTTTTAAAATGATGACTTGAGTAAAATATTCACTGGATTTTATGTGGTAGAAAAAGCAAGTAAGAGTGATTTTGAAAGCCAACAGTGATGAAACATTTCAGGGTGTCATTCTAACATATTTGCTATTGTTATTCTTTGAACAAAACATCAATTATTATCCCTAAAACTATCAAGAATTCAGCCAAATATGCAATTGAGGTATGTTTTTCCTTTACTTATCCATCCACTCATAAATTTATTCAATGTCCAGGGCTAATATAGTACCAGGTTATAATAGATTAAAGAGATGAGAAGACACAGAACAGTTCTGTAGAGGCAGTGATCTAATGTAGAATTCATAAACATAAATTACTATGAAATCATTGTGTCTTTCTCTCTGTCTCTCTCTCTCTCTCTCTCTCTCTCTCTCTCTCTCTCTCTCTCACACACACACACACACACACACACACACACACACACACTATTAATAAAGAGAATTTTTAAAAAGTAGTTATGGAATACATTCCCAAAAGTTTGTTCCACATATATTCTGGTTTTACTTATTTATTTAATAGCCTGATTTCAGTTTTTTAAATTGAGAAAGATAAAAATCTTTCACTTATAAACCACAACTTTTCCATTGCTCAAAGATGTATCTCTCACATTCATGTAGATTTTAAATTCAATACCTTAATGCAATAAATATATAAGAAGCATTTAATCACACTAACACTAGCTAAAAATAGACTAATAGAAAAAAGAGTTAAATTATAGGAAGTGGACTAGTGCTGTAGTTCAGTGGTAGAGCGCTTGCCTAGCATGTATCAGGTCTTGAGTTCAATGCCCAGTACCACCAAAAACCAAACAAATACTAGAAATTGAACAAATAATTTATCTTATACTTTAATCTTTTCTCCAAGTTCAATTGATTTCCCAAAGATTACTCATGTTAGTCCTTTATCTTATACACAGCATATTTGCTGTTGCATTGTGTTTTCCTTGATACTTTATTATTTTCTTTAGAGTCACAGGAAGACAATAAGAAATCTGAAAAAAAGAGAGCCACTTCAAATTACAGAAACATATTGATGGATAGAACCACTTGAAATTTAAATGCCTTATAAATTTATTACATATAATTAGCCTATTTCAATGTCATATAAATATGCCACACTTAGCCACTTTCCTCCAAACCTTTTGAGCTCCACCTCTCTTTCCACTGATATCTTCATCATATTTTTCATCTGTTTCTAGAATTTCTACAACAATCTCTACTCTAGCCATCCATCAATGTCATATCTGTTAAGTCACCATATTTCCTTCTTAGGAAAGATTTTGGTGAAGTTGCATCTTTATGTTCCTCTTGTTAGGAGCAACTGAAATCCCTGAATATCACATGCAATTATGTAACAATACAAGGTGGTGAAGGGTGGAGAGAAATAGACTGAGGAGGGACCTCAGGTCTTAAGGAAACACAAGTGGCAAGTTGCCTAACCTTTCTTTTTGCATCTTGTCTCTCGAGCTAACAACCTTGGTACTCCAATAGGAAAAAACTAGTCTCCCTAGCCAAAGGACTGGAAAACCATGAGTTCAACAAGAAAAAGAATGCCTAAACAATAATTTCTCTACCATAGCCAAACATTATTGAAAAATCAGTCTGACTTCCACCTCCAACAGCAAAGGATGAACACAAATCCTAGATTTCCATCCACATCAAGCTATATCCCAACCCCAAGACTCTCAAATGGAGGAAAATTAAGAAAATTTGCCACAGTATTTTATTTCTTTTTGCAAAGAAACTCTGTCTAAAACAAATCACCCTCTCTTTGTTACAATTTATAGCACTTTGTGGTAATAGGAATGGAACCCATGCTAAAAGTATGCTGTACCAAAGAGCTATATTCCCAGCCAGACAAGAACAGAGAATATTTTGAGCCATAAAGATCATTTTACTAGCATTAACAACCTCCACCGTATGGAAAAATATCTTTTAAGAAATGGAAAAGAGTGACTAGAATTTAGAGTGACTTGAAATTTTTAAGGCTTATATGTAAGTTAACGCAATTTTGAATTTTCAAAAATAAAACAGAAATAAGAGTATTTATTTTACATTTTCACAAGATGTTTTCCACAGAAACATCTTGCGGCTATTATACTTAAAGAAAAATATACACTCCATGGCTTTCGTGTTTACAGGAAGTTCTCGGCTCTGAAAGAGTCATTTTGAGGGATAAACCAATATGCTTATTAGATAGATGTGTGTGGCTATGTATGTTTTATGTAATATTTCACATCTGTTATAAAGTAATTCTAAAAGCCAAAGTCCTCGCTTCTTATAAATAGTGTTCCTTTAAATGCAAAACTTTATCTGTTACTAGTTTCTTTAAAGATTTAGGCAACCAAAATGTGACTCTTAGGTGAAGCCAGCAGTTTAACTTAGGCCGATAAAGCTGAACATGTTCATAGGAAAACATCTTTTCATGTTCATGAATGGCTGTCAACGAAGTAACATCTGACAACTATCTTTATGCAGGTCTTCAAATACAGTTAGTGGGGCTAAAATTTCTTTTTCATGAGACTCAAAGTCAATTGTCATATATCTTAGTCTACACATGAAAGAAGACACAGTATCCCCGATCAATGCCTATTTATCACCCACTCAACAGTCATCAGGGCATTCTTTGAGTAGCAAAGTGTAGTTGATATATGATATCTGCAGGACACATGTCTTGCACAAGTAGTCTACATTATACCTGAAGAATCTATGTTCATGTGCAACCACCAGTACAACTGGCGTGCCTCGAACAAAATGGGTTTATCAAGAGAATGAGCAATCAGTGTTCATAATCTGATATCTGCTTGATAAGTGGACAATTCAATTTCATGTACAAAAGATGTAAAGGCCTCTGACCAATCTCATTTCCTCTAGAATTCTCTTTATTCCTTTTACTCCAATTACACCCACCTTCCTTAGTCCTTGAATTATTCAACCTCCATCTCTGGACAGTCATATGAAATGCTGTTTGTCTTACCCCACCCCAATCCAGTTAATTCCTGCTCATGTTGCAGATGATACGTCATTTCTTCAGGAGGCCTTCAGTGACCTCCTCCTCAGCAAGGGGATATTGTACTCTCCAAGAGCACAATGCACTTGTCTTTCTTAGCACTCATCACAGATGTGATTATATATGGTCTTCTTTGATGGAATGACTTCACAAACATCTGTCTCTCCCAGTGAACAGGATGCCACCA